TGGAATTAAAGATTTTGCAAAGCGGCAGTCTACTAGTTAACTAACGTGATCAACCACCCAACGCCCGTTTACACCCAACGCCCGCTCAAATCCTTTTCCCATCACTTCCCTGCCCCTCCCCCTCCCCCGCCGCCTTCACATTATAAACATCCAACGAATCCAACGACAACCCCAGAAACGCATGCTTATTCCGCCACCTCACCTGACTCTCCGCAAACCCTTCGACATAAGCCGGTTGCGGCGGCGGATCCGTAATCTTGGTGATAAGATACGCCGTTGATGCCTCCGCGATGCCGTACATAAGCACGCCTAGCAGGGGGATGCGGAGCATGGTGTAGAAACCGACGGCGAAGCCGAAGAGGACGCCCTCGCGATCGTGGAACCAGAGGCGTTTTTGCGATTTGGTGAATTTTATGCGGGTGAAGTAGGGTTCGAGCTGGGTGGGGTAATGTTAGCGGGGTTGGTTGGGGGAGGGGCGGATAGCATAAGGAAGTTTTCAGATAAGAAGGGGGGTAGAAATAGGGATATTCTGTTCGCTAATCCTTACAAGTTCCCGCATCAAACTCCTCGACGAAAAGTATGTCTGCAGAAACATCACCAGGAACCTCCTCGGGACAAACAGCCCCGACCCAAAGATGACAAGCGCCGGCACCGTTCCCACTGCCTTATTAAACGTATAAAAGCTGGCGGAGGGAAGCACAAACCGTCCAATGACTGGGAGCAGCGAGAGCAGATAGACGGCGATGGAGAGGGCTGTTTTCCGCCCATAGCGGGTCACGAAGGCTTTGAAGGACGATGCCAAACTGCCCTTCCCACCAGGCTCCTTAGATGACATGGTAGAGTACATTCTGAGATTGGGTAGTAGTAGAGGCCCGCAGCCCGCTCAGGATGGTCCGATTTGTTCTTTCTGCATGTATGTGATGTCGCCCATGGGAGGGATTCCATGAACCTTTTTTTTTTTTTTTGGAGGAGATTAGTTGACATGGTAAATAGGAGGCGAGAGCGGTACTTTCAGGACATACATATCATCGAGGGTCGGGGTGACATAGCGCATCAATGTCATGAGCAAGAATGGCACCTGGAGGACGTATGTGGATATGAAGTCCAGCCTGCCAAGGACTATGTCGTCCCAAGTTGCTGCCTCCAGATCGATGATCCAGGAGAGGAGCCATATTCCGAACTTGACAGCGATGACCTGCATATAAAACATGTTAGTTTAGCGATTGCCCAGTAACTAGGCAATAGAATTGGGGTATATATCTGAACATACCGGAATGGAGATGATAAGGCGTATGGCAATCCCCGCACAAGCCGCCAGCGCCGCTTGCCTGTAATGCTCCGACTTAAAAAGGGAGGGATTCTGCAGAGCTCGATGGGCTAACTACCATGAATGTCAAACAGCGACGATCATTAGCCAGATGCATCCTCCCCCGTAGCTGTAACTAGTCATGGAACGTAATTGTCCCCGCATGTCCACACGTTTGCCAGAATCGAGATGATTTGCACGACATGCACGTGCAGGCGAAACGCGATGTGCCCAATCTTAACTACATGGAAATGGGCAAGCAAGGAGAGGACTAACCGCCGACTAGTGTGAGTTGGGCCCCGCGAATGATTGCATTTGGCTCGAAATTCGACATGGCGGACGGCCGTGGAATGAGGCGGGGCACTCAGATAATGTCGACCATGCGGCAAACCAACCAACCAACCAACCAATGCCCGGGGGGGGGAAGGCTTGCAGCCTGGTAGTTTCAGTCAACTGCCAGGAGGACAATCAAGATCTGGTGCACAAGAAGTGGGGATTTTTACTCGATGAGCAGCAGCACATAGAGTGAGTAACTATGTCAGAAGTAGCCAGGTGTTAACAAACGATGGCACATCCATGGGCGGCGAGCTGAGGATTCCCGCCTGCCGCGGCTGGTAAAACTGCCCCACCCCGCAATTCTGCCCCCTGGGCCCCTGGCCCCTGGCTGCCCCTGGGCTGCCCTCGCTGCCCTCGCTGCCCTGATCCAGTAACTAAACAACAACCAACTGCAGCAGGGAGACATCTCCAACTCCCCCCCGCTCGTCCCCTCTGACATTATCCCAGTCACGCTGATCCATTCCTTTCCCCCCCCTCACTCCTTTGTATCTTTTGGTTTCTGCACATCTACGCATCCAACTATACACCCCCCCCCCCCCCGCTCATTCCTCAACTACTCACACATCCCTCAACTACTTACACATCCCGCTCATTCCTCAGTTCGCCCCTTTTCCATTCCATGTCTGCACTCCCTTAAGTCGACTGGCTCCGGCCCCCCGCGATAGCCTAAACAAATAAACTAAATAGCCAACCCCATGGATCCAACACGGCCTCTCCAGCACCCCAACGCCCTCCCGCACAAACTGCGACCCAGCCTGGGACCCTCAGACGCACCAAACCCCCCCCCCCCCCCCCGGTCAAGCGAAGTCCACTTCCACCACCGCTGCGCCAAAATCGTCAAGTTCGAACTCCCCCAATCCGCCCACATCCCCCCTCCCACCGACATCTCCTCAGAGCTTGACTACGTAGTCGACGCCATAGAGACCCTCCCATGGCGCCTCTCTACAGAGCGAATAGTGGCCCTCGGCCATATGAAAATAGAACACGTCCCGGGCTCAACCATATTCCTCAAATCCGGCAGCGTGGTGCAGACGCTCATGAAGAACTGCCAATGCTGGTGCGTGGATGGGAGCTCTATCTTCGTCATCCGCATAAGGCGGCTCACATATTACCGCATCGAACTTCCCTACGAGACGGAGCGGGATAAGGAGCAGGTGGAGGCGCTGAAGAAGGTGCTCTCGACAATTATTAGGTATGAGGTTACGCCGTGTCCGTTCAAGCGTGGGTTTTCGGTCGAGTTGCCTGAGGAGTCGAAGACGCCGCGGAAGAAGAAGGCGTGGCGGCCGAAATTGGAGCACGGCTTTGAATCGCGGAAACTTAGCTTTGGGGAAGCGGGTTCGGATAGCCTGGGGTGCGTGGGGTGCGGGGGGTGCGGGGGGTGCGGGCGGAGTGATGCGGGGAGCAGCCGCCGCACGGGGAACACTGAAGAGGGTGATGTGACTGATGGCAGCGAAAGAACTCCCAAAGCTCGTCGCTGTGTATCTATACCCCATCATGATGGACGGTCACCCCCTATACCCATCCGCCCCCAGGCGGTCCGAAACGTCACGGAGCCAACGTATGCCTTCGACTCGCTCATGGCTACCTTCCAAGCTCTGCCCGACAGCGAATGCGAAAGCGAGAGGGAAATGCAAATGGAAAACGACAATCTATCGTCAAGCGTCGATTCATTCCACTCCTTTCAATCTTCTCGCTCCTTGCCCCTCCCCCCCTCGCCTCCATACTCCAATACCCCCTCCCCTCCAAACTCTCACCCTTTCATCACCGCAGAGAAGCTACACACCCCACCCCAACGCTCTCACAACGGCGAATCGTCCCGGGAAACCACCGTCTTCGAATCCCCAGCGCCCAGGCAAACCGATCCAGAGCCAGAACCTCGCCCCAAAAACCCGCCTGCACCACCCACACATCCAACCCCAACCCCAACCCCAACCTCATCCTCTTTCCCCCCCGCCTCACCCAAAGAAATACATACACCCCCACCCCCACCCCCATCCCCATCCCCACTACTACCAAACCCCCGCCACCGCACCCACGACTCCTGGAAGCGCGACCTCTCCCCCCTCCCCCCACACTCAACGCTCTCTCTCTACCAACCCTCGCCCATCAACAAACTAACAACAACCATCCTCCGAAAAGCCTGCTCGCTCGTCATAAGCACGCCCATCCAAGTTTTCGCTGTACTACTGCATATCGCTGCGAGGTTGGCGAAGAAGGATGGGTTGCGGCGCGAGCTGAGTAACGGTTACGAGTCTGTTGTCGAGGACGACGAGGATGAAGACGAGGATGACGATAGACGGGATGTGTGGAGCGAGGATGATTTTGGGATCCCGATTTCGGTATCAGCTTATGTGTCGAGGAGATGGCGGGAGGAGAAGGAGGAGGAGGAGGAGGAGGAGGAAGGGGAGGGTGGGGGCTGGTGTGAGAGGTGGACTGAGGAGCTGGATTGAGATGTTTTGAGATGGTTGGCATCCCTACCTGCTAACCTCCCTTCCTTTCCTTTTCGTTTTCCTCTTATTTTTTTCTTTTCTTTTCTTTCTTCTTTTTTTCTTTTTTTATGTATATACCAACATCGTTTCCATCTATATCTATATCTACACAGGCCCCCCTGACTCCTCCATACCTCCGATGCGATTTCATTCTATCGATTTAATATTTCGCTACATGTATTTTTCACTGATCTCTCCTTTGCCTGAGTATTTTCCCTTTGTTTCCGTTTTCTTGCTGTTATTATCCGGCGGGCGAAACGGGGTATATATGTTCGAGTATGCCTGCGTGGAAACCTTTCCTGCTTTACCTGGGTTGGAGGCAATGTCAATCTGAATCTGTTTTTGTTTTTTGTAGGCGTGGGATTACCTATATCGTGTGCCAGAGGTTACCCTGCTGGTGTGGTTTGTCATATTAGGGCCTTTTTAACCCCCCCCGCTTTTCTTTCTGTCTTTCTTCTCAAGCAAGAGCTCCGCATTGCCTTTGCTCTGTACACGCATTCATTATCGGCTTTTCCTTTGCTACTTTTGTTGTCTGGTTTGGCTTCGACGGCACTGGAGTCTTTAGTGATAGCTTTGTTCTGTCTGTGGCAGGTTAGCTACCATGTGTCCTGCGGCCCCCCATCTCTTTTTTGTTTTATCGCTGCGTTGTTGAGATGTGTGGTGATGGCCTTTATTATACAAGTTATATCCTTGAGCATGTTTTGTACGCAATATACAAGATTCCTCTCCACATAACGATGTCACACATATCGATGTCACGAGAGAAATCTTCAAAAATAGTTCAAATTCAACTCGACAGATTCCCTCTTCTGTTCATGTAGATCTCCCACATCGGACACATAACCAACCCAAGCCGCCAGGTACCTCCCTCTATGCCTCCACGAGACCAACACAGCAAACACCATCAAAACAAACCTCCCAAACGCCAAACGAATGCAAGTCCTCTCCATCCCCCACCCATCAACCCCCTAAACCCTTCCCCTAAAACCTTCCCCTAAACATTTCCCTTCTCCTTCCCCTTCTCCTTCCCCTTCCCCTTCCCCTTCCCTTTCTTCCTCGCACTCCTATCCCTCTTCTTCATCCCCACCATCCCCGCCCTGCAAACCTCCGCATACCTGCCAAAGAACCCCTCGATATCCCCCGGCTGCACGACAGTCGATACCTTTGCCTTGGAACTCTTGTGTTTGCCGTTTGTGGCGCGGATGAGGATTGGTGACAGTGGCAACGTCGCTGGAGCTGATGGATCTACTGCTGACGGAGATGGGGAGGTGGTGTTGGTGCTGGTGTTGGTGCTGGCGCTAGGCATCCGCTTTTGCGTAAGGAATATAGACCCCCTGGCTTGGGTAGATTGTTTGGACAGGAGGGATTTGAGAGTTGCGAAGAACTGGAACGGGGGAGGGGGCCCATTGTTAGCTGGACGATTAATGGTTTTGGGAGTGCTGTTGTATATACTAACCTCGTCATTGGAGACGTGCGGGCTGTTGGACATGTTGGCCGGAGGGATGAGGTGATATGGGCATGTAGGGGGTATATGGTATGTGGAATTGAGTGGTTGCGGGTGGAGGTGGATGGGGTGAAAATATTTTTATCGATACCCGCCGTGCTGCGTTTCTTCTTGCAGGAATGGATGGTTGTAGTAAATTAAATTGCATGTGGACTATATCCGGGGGGCATGGAGAGAGATATATATTAATTATATAGCCAGTTCCGCCGTGTCTCATCGCCCGCCGAGGCTGCCGCAAATACTCTCACACCGCCTTCCAAAGCGCCCGGCAGAAAAAGATATGTAACTTCTTTAAACTTGATCAACATCAACAACACCGACGTTACAGGGACCAGGCGACGGACAAACACCTCATTCAGCCAGGCCGCCCTTGACTATGCCTCGCCCTCTATACAACACAACACAGCTCCCCAAACAACTCCGCGATGAACTGGGCCTTTCGGACCTGGCCGACTTGCCCAAGGGAAAGGGAACAGGTGACCGCCGTCGCAATGGGTACGTTTCGCGAAAAGAGCGGCGGAAGGCTGAGCGGGTGAATGGGAAGAGGGCACAGAGGGGGAAAGGGAGGCGTGGGGGCGTAGTTGATGGTGGAGGTGTGCGAAATATCGTGTCTGCCGGTGAGCAGAAGCAGAAGCCAACCGCGAAATTGAAGGTGGGATCTGCGTCGAAGTCAAAGTTGATTTTGAAGAACAGGGAGCAAATTGTTAAGGCATTTGAGAAGGGGGAATCAGAGGAGGAGAGTGAGGGGCGTTTTACGGATTTGCTTAACGAAGAAGAAGAAGATGGTGATGACCCTGATGAAGAAGAAGAGATATCCAGCGGAGACGAGCAATACACAAGCCAACCTAAACTATCTCAGGCTGTCAAGGATAGATTAGCTGAGGATGATGCGGAGATCTCCGCGCTGGAGGAAAAGCTAGGTATCAAGGGGAAAAAAGGGAAACTGCCACAATCGTTTTACGACGAGGGATTAGCGGATATACTCGGTGATCTGGCCGGGGGCGGGATCGGATGGGGAGGATGAGTCGCGGAAGAGAAAGAGGGAGGAGGATGAATGGTTGCAGAGGAAGAGGATGAAGGCCCAGGCTGCTGCGCGGAAGAATAAGAAGAGCATGGGAGTGGAGTCCGGGCGTGAGAGGGAGGGTAGTGAGGAAAGCGACGAATTCGGCGAGGAAGACGAATTTGACGGCTTTGACGACGATGACGACGATGACGGCGACAGCGTCTCCAATGACAGCGGCCAGGACGATGAGGACACCACCCAAAAACCAAAGAAGCGAGAAAACCCCTACCTCCCCCCGGTTTCTACCCCCGCAGCACCGCCCAAATACATCCCCCCTTCTCTCCGCAACCAACCATCAAATGAATCAGAATCCCTAACCCGCCTCCGCCGCCAAGCACAAGGCCACCTCAACAAACTTTCCGAAGCAAACCTCCTCTCCATCCTGCGCGAGATAGAAAAGCTGTACCAAGATTACCCACGCCGCAACGTCACATCGACGCTTATAGAGCTTCTGATGGGCCTGGTGTATGACAGGAGCGTGTTACAGGATACGTTTATAATACTACATGCGGGGTTTATTGCAGCTGTGTATAAAGTGATGGGGATGGATTTTGGGGCAGAGCTTGTTGAGGCAGTTGTGAGGAGGTTCGATGGGGATTACGAGGTGGCGAGGGTGAAGGGGAGGGAGGAGAAGGAGAGTGATGGCGGAGGGAATAATAACAAGGAGATGCTGAATGCCATCTCGCTATTGTCGCATCTGTATAGCTTCCATGTTATCGGATGTAGTCTGATCTTCGACTATATCCGTCTATTCCTAACAGAGATCACAGAACTAAACACCGAACTTCTCTTGCGAATCATCAAGAGTGAGCCAGCTGCCAATTATCCCTACGCTCCCTTCACATACTCCCCCAACCAATTAACCACTACTAACCAAACCCGCAGACTCCGGCCCCCAGCTGCGCGCCGACTCCCCCTCAACCCTCAAAGACATAATCCTCCTCCTCCAACCCACCCTCTCAACCCTAGACCCAAACACCCTCTCCGTCCGCACAAAATTCATGCTCGAAACAATAACAGACCTAAAAAACAACCGCCTAAAGTCCAACGCCGCCTCCGCCTCCTCCCTCTCCTCAACACACATAACAACCATGCGCAAAATCCTCGGCTCCCTCAATGACTCCCCCCGCACCCTCCGTGCCAGCGAACCCATCCGCATCGGCCGCACAGACATCCATCAGGCCGATAAGAGGGGCAAGTGGTGGCTTGTCGGCGCCAGTTGGAGGAGGGATGATGCGGCGAACCAGCACAACGGCCAGCAAGATACCACCGATGCTGGTGCTGCTAATGCACATGCACATGCCGCGACAGCGCTGGCAGATACCTTAAACGACAACGACGGCATAGGCGGGAAAGAGGTCGATCTCTTGCAGCTCGCCAGAGCGCACGGGATGAACACGGACGTCCGCCGCTCGATATTCGTTGCCATAATGTCCGCCGCTGACTACCGGGACGCGCACATGCGGCTGGCCAAACTGCGCCTGAAGCGAAATCAGGAGGGCGAGATACCGCGCGTACTCCTGCACTGCGCTATGGAAGAAGAGGCGCATAATCCGTATTACACGCTTATAGCGCGCAGGCTGTGCGGAGAGCGGCGGATGAAGATGGCGTTTATGTTTTCGCTGTGGGATGTTTTCAAACGGATGGGGGAGGGGGGGGTGTATGGGGATGATGATGGTAGTGGTGGTGGTGGTGGTGGTGGTGGTGAGGGGGACAATGAGGTGACGAGCAAGGCTATTGTGAATCTGGCGAAGATGTATGGGAGTTTGATTGCGGGTGGGGAGATGGGGTTGGGGGCGCTGAAGGTTTTGGATTTTGTGTATATGCAGAGTAAGACGAGGGTGTTTGTGGAGGTGCTGATTGTTGCGGTTATGGCGCAGACGCAGCAAAGAAGGACGCGGGAGCTTCAGAGGGAGCGGGATGGGTCTGGGTCGAGGAAAGGACGGGATGGTGGTGAAGGTGAGGAGGGGTTCGATGAGAAGGCGCTGGCAGATGTGTTTTTGCGGACGAGGGAGACGCCGCAGGTTGTGCCGAGGCTGATTTATTTTATTCGGAAAGTTGTTGCGAAGACGGATATTGTGGTGTCGAAGAGGGAGAGGAGGATCGTCAAGTGGGGGTGTAAGGTTGCGTTGGATACGTTGAAGGCTGTATCGAGGGCTGGTGGGGATGGTTGATATTATTGTTTTGCTCTGCATGCATGTATGGCTTGCTACCAGGATGGCAAAGAATATATACCCAAAAAATCGTCACAATAGATCCGTGGTTTGATATCATGTCACATCATTCGTCGACCGGAAATAATCTCTCATCAATCCCCAGCCGGGGAAATAGGTCAGTTAGTGCCTGTATATGCTTTACAGGAGAAGTAGAGTCAAGGCGATAATCAGAAATGCATGGTCCCTCCCCGTCTCTGGGGAGTAAGAAACTATCCCAGCCAGCATTAATTGCCCCCTCGTAGTCCTTCTCATAATGATCTCCGACATGTACGCAGATCCACTCTGGATCCGCCGACGGAGACAAGCCGCCATCACCACCGTCAAGACATTCTTTAGCTCTTTCTTTAGCCAAATCGAAGATCTTCCGGTGGGGTTTCTCCGCGTCAGCTTCATAGCTGGTGACGATAAAGTCGATATCAGTCGGTATTTTCCCCCTCAGCCCGGTCTCAGTAGCAGCAGTTGTAGTATTCTCCCGCGTCTCCCCAACCCGCACCCCCAAGCTATTCAAGATACGAGCAATCCTATCATCCGAATTCGAAATAACACCCACAACAACTCTCTCGAAAAGAGAATCCGCATTGGCGATGCCGTCTCTTCTACCGCCATCCGCCATCAACAACGACCCCTTCCACCTCCTCATCCTCTCAAAAAACCCCTCCACATCCGGATACAACACATACCCCTCCCGACCCTCAAACCGAACAAGTAACCTCCTAACCAACTCCTCCGGAACCTCAACCTCACCCCCCTCCCCATCCGCATGGCCCCTCACAACCCCCCTAAAACAGCACCTAACCACATTCCCCCACCACTCCCTCGGCCCCCCAAACCCCACCACATTCCGTCCATAGTTCGGCCTCGCAGCACTCTCCCGTTTAAACGCCGCGCGGAAGGCCACTGAGATCTTCTCTGCGAGGGCCTCTGTGGATAGGTTCTTACTGTTGCTGGTGAGCTGCTGTGGTGGGGGGAAGTTGAGGGACTGGGCGACTTGGGCGTATTGGATGGGGACGGGGAGGCGGGGGTGGAAGAGGGTGTTGAAGGCGTCGAGGGTTAGGAGGAGGGTGCGGGGTGGGGCAGAGGGACGTGGACAGGGACGGAGGAGCATTGGAGGGGTAATGGAAGAGTTGTTTTTGATTCCTCTGAATCTCCACATAAAGCTCACTGATAATCATATATGTATGCGAGAGTCTGATTTTGTAGTTTATATCATGATGGTGAAATGAATCTTCAAGCCCAGTGTGTGTTCTTCAATTGTCGAGGATGATCTAGATTCCGAACTTCTTTAATAATTGAATGGTCATGGTCATATCCCATACGCCTCGCGATTAGGAATGATAGACCTCTCTCATCCATGAATATTATTCGTTGAACTAGGCATTCCTCTTTGATAGAGATCGGGTCCTGACAGTTGGTTGAGAATTGGTACGTGAAAATTGTCCATGCAGTCGGAACACCATCGATCTTTGCAGCAGCTCGAGCGCTTTTGGTTTGTCTTGTTTTATGCTCTGATAGCTAGAAGAAGTCTCCTTTCTTGATTTGAAGCTTGATTCTCCATGGTTGTTGAGGAATACATAATCTGAATGCAGGTAATTTGCTGAGAGGGGAAAAAGTGGCCGACGGTGATTGTTTGAAACTGTTATTTAGTTAAACTACGTTAACCAAGTTTACGGGAAGTGATTAACCACATCACCCAACATCACTACAACCGTCACCACCGTCACCGTCACCGTCACCACCACCACCACCACCACCACCACCACCACCACCACCACAATGTCGGGTTAGTGGCATTGGTTAGGGGCGCACGTTAGGCATTCGGATTCAGGTTAGTTCAGGTGAGGGTGTGAGGAAGAGGGATAACATCACTCCTCTTAAGTGCTCCCGTAGATAAAGTGACCACACGACGAGGTGTATGACCGGCTACTTGCTCTCTGGGGTTTACTGCCTCTGAAAATGAGATATGAACTATATGTCAAGCGAAAAGGCTTGAACGGGAAAACAAAAAGCATCGATACTGCTGTCGAAACTGGTATAGGATGACTCCAGCTACGGTACGTCCCGCTGACTACAAAACTTCCCCCCGGTTGAAGCATTCCAGTTGACATTTATACAGACTCCAGCGAGGCAAGCTCCTCCCTCTAGAGGGAATGGATCAGTATCGCGAACTCCGCGCTTTATCTTCAGCTCAAATTTCCCCTCAAGTTCTGCCTCTCAGTTTGCAGCAACTCCTCGTTTCTGTTTCACGGAAAAGGGAAAAAGCCATGTCTCGGACGTAGAGGCCAATTTGAGTGATGTTATCCCCTCGTCCTCATCCTCAGCACTCACTGAGTCCTATGGGCAGACTGGGAACTTGCCCCAGGCTTACCCGGGGGGAGACATTATTCAAGACTCCAGCAGCGATGAAGAGGAGCTTTTATTCCAGGATGATACCCCATCTCCACCTCTGGAAGGGTATCCAGTAAACCAGGGTGACGCCGGAGGAGGATTTGATATCGATGCGGAATTCGATGCCATTTTCCCCCCGACGCCAGAAATGCGCAAGGCGAAACGTCGGAGGGTGTCTCTACCTCCTCCCAATAGCGGTGATGCCAACGCAGATTCAATATCATCGTGTCCATCTGCATCCACATCCCCATCACCACCACCTCCTAAATCACCCACCTCCTCATTCGCATCTCCGACTCCTCCACCCGGCGAAACACACTCCC